CCCCAGTGTCCCCAGTGTCCCACCTTGACCTTCTCGGCCCAGGGGTTGAGGCGTGTCCAGAGCAGCCACCACCCCGAGAGCGAGTCGCCGTAGTTGCACAGGTCGGTCTCGTCCTGGCTGCCCACGTCGATGGCGATCACCGTCTTGGCGCCCATGTTGCGCGCGATGTCGGCTGTGGGGACACCGGGGACGTCGCTGGGGACACCATCGGGGGACATCACCACGGGGGACACGAGGGGACATCGGGGACAATGGGGATGGGGATGGTGGCCTCGGCGTCACCGGGGGCGTGGGGAGGGTGGAGGTGACCCCTAAGGGACATCAGGGGACATCAGGGGACATCAGGGGACATTGAGGGACACCAGGGGACATCAGGGGACATTGAGGGACACCAGGAGGTGACAGAGGGTGGCGATGTCCCTGGAGAGTGACCAGCAGCAAGGACGTCAAGGGATGACGGAAGAGGGAGAAAAGATGGATCCTGTCCATGGAAATCCATGGAACGTTCCAGAAAAACCGGCTGGGATTGGAAGAAAACACCGGGAGATGATGGAAGAGGGACGGGTCTGACCATGGAAATCCACGGAACGTTCTGGAAAAACCGCCCCGGCACGGAAAAGACACCAAAAAAAAAAAAGATGGAATATGGAAATCCATGGAACATTCTGGAAAAAAAAACACCCAGCACGGAAAACACACCAAGAGACGATTCCGAGACGGACACGAGACCCCCAAAAAAACCCAAAAAAAACCAAAAAAAAACCAAAAAAAACCCAAAAAAACCCCAGGGGAACATTCTGGAGAATAAACCAGGCTGGCCAATCCCAGGCCCGAGACGCCACCAAAACGGAGCCGTGTCTGTCTGTCCGTCTGTCTGTCTGTCTGTCTGTCTGTCTGTCCCACACTTGCCTGGCAGGTTGTTGATGTACCCCCCGTCCATGAGGAGGTTGCCGTCCTTGGGGTCGCACAGTGGGGGCAGGTAGCCCGACAGGGTCATGCTGGCGCGCACGTAGCGCCAGAGCGAGCCTGGGAACCGGCCAAAAAAAACAAAAAAAAACCAAAAAAACCAAAAAAAACGGCGCGGGGGAAAAAACAAAACAAAACAAAAAAAAAAAAAAAAAAAAAACAACCGGGAAAACGCCGGGAAACGCCGTCAGCTCCTCCCCCCCAACAACGCCCCCGAGCCCGCCGGCCCCGGCTGACCCTCGGTGGTGTGGATGCTCTGGGGGTGGGAGTTTGGGGTGGTTTTGGCATTTTTTGGTGGGGTTTTTTTGGGTGTGTTTTCATGGTTTTTTCTTGTTTTATTTGATGTTCTCTGGTGGCCTTTGTGGTGGGGTTTTGGTGCGTTTTGCTGGGGTTTTTTTTGGTGTGTTTTTTGGGTTTTGTGTTTTGGTGGGGGGTTTTCTTTCAGGTTTTTTGTGTGTTTTGGTGGTGGTTTCTGGTGTGTTTCGGTGGGGTTCTTTGTGTGTTTTGGTGGCGTTTTTTTGGTTTTTTGGTGGTTTTTTGGGTGTGTTTTGGTGGTGTTTTTTTGGGTGTGTTTTGGTGGTGTTTTTTTGGTTTTTTGGTGTTTTTTTGGGTGTGTTTCAGTGGCGTTTGTTTTTCTGGTACTTTTTGGTGGATTTTTTTGTGTGTTTCATCAGCATTTCCTCGTTTATTTCGGTGTATTTTGAGGTTCATTGGTGCTTTTTTTGCCGTGTCTCGGTGGGTTTTTTTTTTTCAGGCTATTTTTTTTTGTGTGTGTGTCCGTGTGTTTTGCTGTTTTTTGGGGGGGTTGTTTTTGGCGCATTTCCATGTTTTTCTGGGGGGGGCCTGGCCCCACAAGGAGGTGCTGACCTGGGACATTGTTAACATAGCAGCCATCCACCAGCCAGTGGCTGTCCTTGGGGTCGCAGAGCGGAGGCAGGTAGGGGGTATAGGAGGCACTGGCTCGGACGTAGCGCCAGAGGCTGCCTGGGGACGGAGAGGACACGGTCACGGCCACCACGGCGTGACCAGGCAGGGACAGGGGCTGTGGGGGGGACGTTGGTAGCCAGTGGTGTGGGGTTAGAGGGGTCAGTGAGGATTAGTGAGGGGAGGGGGGTGGGTGAGGCCACCGCAGCGGGGGTGGCCGTGGACGGCTCAATGTCCCAGGTGAGCAGAGGGCGAGGGGCGGCCACCATGGGGGTCCCGCCACCAGCGCCGTGTCCCCACCACCAGGTCACCGACACCACCGTGATGTCCCCACTGCCGTGTCCCCACTGCCGTGTCCCCACCACATCCCCACCACCAGGTCACCGACACCACCGTGATGTCCCCACTGCCGTGTCCCCACTGCCGTGTCCCCACCACATCCCCACAACCATCTCAATGTCCCCACCACCACATCCCCACCTCCATGTCCCCAACATCACCACGATGTCCCCCCACTGCCACCTCGATGTCCCCACTGCCACCGCCATGTCCCCGTGCTCACGGGGGGTTACTGGGTTAGTGCTCAGCAGCGGTGTTAGCGCCTCATGCAGCTCCAGCTGTCCCCTCCCCGGTGTCCCCAATGTCCCCAGGGGCTCAGGAAGCCACCCCTGTCCCCACCGTGTCCCCACCGTGTCCCCAGGGGCTCTCACCGTCCGTGTGCACCCGCATGGCCGAGGCCGTGATGTCCGTGGTGACGTTGAAGTAGGGCAGCCACAGGTCCTGCAGGGAGGGCACGGACTGGGTGACACCCCTGGGGACACCGGGGGGGGTTGGCACGGGGTGGGGGGTGACACCTTGGGGACACACCTCGATCTGTTTGTCCTGGAAGACGCGGTTGATGCTGGCGTTGAAGGCCGAGCCCGAGAACATGGAGGTGATGGGGTAGGTGAGGTCCAGCACGGTCTCGAAAACGGAATTCATGCACTGGGGAGGAGGAGGAGGAGGAAGAACAGGAAGAAATTCGGTTAGAAACAGCCGGGGCAGGGCTGGGTACAGGTCCCTGAGGTGGCCCTGTCCCTGTCCCCGTGTCCCTGTCCCCGTGTCCCCGTGTCCCCGTACCCTGGCCCACTCCCTGGCGCGCTGTTTGGTGCGCACGGCGCTGCGCTCCTCGGCGTAGAGGGCCCCGATGAAGGCCCCGATGGAGGTGCCCCCCACCAGGTCAATGGGGATCCCCGACTCCTCCATGGCCTTGATGACCCCGATGTGAGAGCAGCCCCTGCAGGCAACAGGGGAAAACGGGAGAAAACAGGAGAAAATAGTGAGAGAAAATGAGAAAAACGAGAAAAACGAGAAAAATGAGGGGTCGGGGGGCACCACGAGGGAAAAGGGAGGTGTGGGGATAGGGGGACATGAGGGCATGGGGACACAGGGCCACGGGGACAGGAACACAGACCACGGGGACACAGACACAGGGGACACACAGGCGACAGGTGACAGACGTGGCACCTGGCTCCGCCGCCGCCCAGCACCAGCGCGATGGTGTTGCCGGTGAGGACCCGCGCCAGGCGAGAGAAGTCGCTGTGGCGATCGGGGCTCTTCTCGAACACCTTCTCGTACATCTCCCGCTGCGGCGGGGAGGGGACAGCGCTGAGCCACGGCCACAACGGCCACTCCCAGGGGGAGGGGACAGCTCCCAGGGGAGGGGACACTCACCAGCTTGGCCGGGCTGCGGCGAGAAAAGACGCGGCGAGGGCAGCGGATGTGCAGGTGGCCCGAGCACCAGCTGCGCATGTTGAGCCACTCGACCGTGCGGGCCGGGCCAGCGCCGTCCTCGCGGTGCAGCAGCACCAGCTGCTTCAGAGCCCGCACGGCTGTGTTCTCCAACATCTGCTCCAGCTGTGGGGGCACCGCAGAGGGGCTGGGACGCCCTCAGAGTTGCGACGTGTCCCCGTATCCCATGTCCTTGTCCCCGTGTCCCTGTCCCTGTGTCCCTGTCCCCCTCACCTCTCCCAGGGCCGGCTCCTGCTCTCCCAGCCCCACGATGAGGATGCAGTCGGCCTGGCGGATGCAGCGCAGCGTCCAGGGGGTCAGCGTGCAGTCGGTCTGGTAGAGCACGATGCGGTGCAGATCCTCCTGCTGTGCCAGCCAGCCCGACAGCCGGTACTCCTGGATGCTGCCGGGGGGCACCGAGCGCTCAGCGGTGGCCGCAGGGGGCGTGGGGGCACCGCTGACCGCTCGCCCCGGGGGTCACCGCTGACCACTCGCCCCAGTTACCTCTCCAGAGCTGAGGAGCCCAGGCGGGCGCGGATGATGTCGCTGGTGAGGAGCAGCGTGGGGCCTGTGGAGGTGGGGATGTGGTCAGTGGGGTGGGGTCGTGGTCATCTCCAGGCCATGGTCACCACTGTGCCATGGGGCTGCAGTCACCACCACACCATGGTCACTGTCGTGGCGTGGTCATCTCCAGGCCACGGGGCTGTGGTCATCTCCAGGCCATCACTACATGGTCACCACATGGTCACCATCCCACGGTCACTGTGATCAGCGTCTCGTGGTCACCACCCCCTGGTCACCATCTCGTGATCACCGTCCCATGGTCAGTCACCATCCTGTGGTCACTGTGGTCACCGTGGTCACTGTCCCGTGGTCACTGTGGTCACTGTGGTCCCTGTAGTCCCTGTGGTCACTGTCCCGTGGTCACTGTGGTCACTGTGTCACTGTGGTCCCTGTGGTCACCGTGGTCACCGTCCCGCGGTCACTGTGGTCCCTGTCCCGTGGTCCCTGTGGTCCCTGTCCCGTGGTCACCGTGGTCACCGTGGTCCCTGTCCTGTGGTCACTGTCCCGTGGTCCCTGTGGTCACTGTCCTGTGGTCACTGTCCCGTGGTCACCGTGGTCCCTGTCCCGTGGTCCCTGTCCCGTGGTCACCGTGGTCACCCTGCGGTCACCCCGTGGTCACCGTGGTCACTGACCGATGGCGCTGAGCGCGTGCTGCAGCTCCAGCGTGAAGGCGGCCATGGGCACCTCGTCGCACACGGGCAGCACGGCCACCGTGGACAGGTTACTGGTGGGGTTGATGGGCTCCGAGCTGGAGGCCACGCCCAGGCCGGACCCTGCGTGGACACCACGAGTGGCCACGAGGCTCTGGTGGTGGCCACCACCCACCCGTTGTCACCAGGTCCCACCTGGGAAGGGCCCGCGGAGCTGCTGGAGGTTGCCCAAGATCTTCTGGCTCAGGAGGTGGATGAGGCGAGTGACCACCTGTGGGGACAAGGATGGGATGGCCACCAGAGCTGGCAGGGACTCGCCAGTGGCCTGCAGGAGTTCTTGGGTGGCCACCAGCACTGCGCGTCCCTGGGGCCTCAGGTGCCACCAACCCTCACCCTTGGCCACCTCAGGTGCCACCACCCTCCCCCTGCAACAGCCCCGTTAACTCCTTAATTAAAGCCGAGTTGTGGCCACCTCAGGTGCCACCCGGGCTACCTGCGGGTACCGACGTTTGATGTTGTTGAGGGTCCCCTCGGGCAGCTTGGCCAGCTCCGTGTCCCTCACGGCGTGCACCGTGGTGGCCCTGGGCTGCCGAGTCAGCGCCTCCACCTGTGACAGAGCCACGGGGACACCGGTGTCACGTGTGTCAACATCTGTGTCACTGTGTCACCTGGGGTCACCTGTCACCTAGTGTCACCTGTTGTCCCCAAGGAGTCACCACTCTCACCAGGTCCCCTCTCCCGTACTCCCCCACCAGCTCCTCACCTGCTGTCCCCTGCTGTCACCTGTTGCCCCCCAGGTGTCCCCCAGGTGTCACTCACCACGCCCACCAGGTCCCCTCTCCCGTACTCCCCCACCAGCTCCTCACCTGCTGTCACCTGTTGCCCCCCAGGTGTCCCCCAGGTGTCACTCACCACGCCCACCAGGTCTCCTCTCCCGTACTCCCCCACCAGCTCCTTCTTGCCGCTGCCCTTCTGGATGACGGAGCGCAGCCGCCCGTTCAGCACGATGTACGTGCAGTCCGACTTGTCCCCCTGCCTGGGGACAGCGACAGTGACAATGGCAGCGCTGGCCACTTCCGGGGCAGTGGCCACTCACCTGGGAGCGGTCCCTCACCTGTAGAGTGCCCGGCCGGCCTCCACGGCCGTCCAGTCGATGGCGAAATCCATCTGGCGCACGAAGGGCGACATGCGGGCGGCCACGGTGTGGGCGACACTCAGCACCACGCTGGGCTGCTCCCGCATGATCCTGGGGGGGCACGACACCCTGGTCACCCCAGAACGCCCCACACCACACCTCGGTCACCCCACAATGTGCTCGCCAACCTCCAGGGTGGCCTCATGGTGGTCACTGACTCGTGACCACCCCAAATCCCCCCCCCCGTGACCCCACCACGAGTCACTGCTGCCCCCCCTGGTTGGTCACTGACTCGTAGAAGTCGGACTTGGAGATCTTGAGGAAGCTGCAGTCGCGGTTGGCCTTGATGGTGAAGATGAGTGGCTCGCCCGTGAGCACGGCCAGCTGGCCCACGAGCTCGCCCGGCTGCGTCAGGAACAGGCACACGTCCTCCTCCTTGTCGATCATGCGCTGGTACACGTGCAGGCAGCCCCACAGGACAAAGTGCAGGCTCACGTCCTGGGGGAGGACACCTGGGGTCACCTGGCGGCATTTGGTGTCACCTAGGGTCAGCTGGCAGCACCTGGGGTCAGCTGGGGTCACCTCTGTCACCTGGTGACACCTTGTGACGCCTCCTGAGGGTGCTGTGTGTGGGAGGTGCCACCAGTGCCACCGTGGGGGGCTCTTCTCTGTTTCTGTCCCACCAGGAGGTGACAGTCGCCAGAACCCACCTGGCCATGTCCTGTCACCTCCCCAAAGTCACCCTGGGTGGGAGGTGACACCAGTGCCACCACGGGGGGGGCTCTTGTGGGCTGTCTCCTGTGGTTCTGGGGTTGTTGGTGTCCCACCAGGAGGTGACGGTCCCCAGAACCCACCTGGTCACCCTGGCGGGCGATGACGGTGCCGCCCTTGGCGTGGTGGAGCAGGACTCGGTTGTTGAGGAGAGAAGGGTCCTGGAGGGGAGAACGGGACCGTGGTGGGGCCAGGAACCCAAACTGACCCCACAAAGCCATGGGCGACCACCAGGAAGCCACCAGGAACCCGTCCCAACCCTACAGAACTCACCAGGATCCCACCCCGTGCCCTGAGCCTCACCTCCACCTTCATGAGTTTGATGAGTTCCCGCTTGGCCTCCTCGAAGATGTCGCTGGTTTGGCGGCCCTGGTAGGGCCCGAAGGGACACGTCCCTGTCCCTGTCCCTGGTGTCCCTGTCCCTGGTGTCCCCGGTGTCCCTGTCCCCGTGTCCTCGCAGGAGCTGTAGTGGTAAATCCCCGAGGGCTGCTCCTCCAGAGTCACTGATTTGCGCTCCTTGGGCTCCTGGGACACCTGGGGGGAGGATTTGGGGTGGATTTTGGGGAGATTTGTGTGGGATGCAAAAGGATTTGGGTAGGATTTGAGCCAGGATTCAGGGGGAATTTGAGTGGGATTCAGGACAGGATTTGTGTGGGATTTAGGGTGGGATATGGGAGGGATTCAGGACGGGATTTGGGTGGGAATTTGGAGAGGTGTGGGGTGGGATTCAGGGAGGAATTTGTGTGGGATTCAGGGGAGATTTGGGGTGGGATTTGTGTAGAACTGGGAATGGAATTGGGATGGGCTTTGAGGTGGGATTGGGATGGGCTTTGGGGTGGAATTTGGGGTGGGATTCAGCAGACACTCCCCCCATACCTGCCCGAAGGCGCCGGTGCTGTCCTCCTGCAGCGACACCGAGATGCGCCCGCGCTCGTACGCCATGTCGAAATCCGAGCGGGGACCCTTCTGGATGCCTGGCCGGGGTCGGGGGTGTCACCAAACGGGTGACAAAGCCACCCCTGGGTGACAACCACACCCCTGGGCAGAGCTGTCACCCACCAGAAATGTCCACGGGCATGGAGATGCAGCGGCTCAGCAGCGGCGGCGGCGCCGGCGCCTCCAGACCGGCGGCTTTCATCAGCTCGGCTGTGAGGGCGAGACCCCAAAAAACTGAGCGTGAAACCCCCCAAAAATGAGCCTGGGACCCCAGAAAAAGGATTGGGGTGGGGGTTTGGGGTCTCACCGGTGTCCCTGCCCTCGTCGGTGCTGCCCAGGCCGCGCTTGCCGTGCCGGACGGGGCTGGTGCGGGCGGCGTGGCCGGGCTGAGGGAAGAGCCGGAGGGGCTGCATGTCCTGGAGGTTTGGGGACAAAGGGACATAAGAGAGGACAAAGGGACATCAGAGAGGACAGGGGGACAGCAGAGGGGAGAGGGGGACAGCAGAGGAAGCCCTGGTCCTGCCCAGGATACCCCAAATTTCAGCCTGAACTCGCGTGGTTGAAGAGGTCGTTGGCATCAGGGGTTTGGGCAATTGGGTTTGAGGTGGCCACACATGGATTTTGGGGTGGCCATGGCTGGGTTCAGGGTGGCCACGGCTGCATTTGGGGTGGTCACTCACATGGCTGAAGAGCTCATTGGTCAAGCCCAGGTAGTTGTGCAAGGCCAGGAAGGTGACGCGCTGCAGCCGCACCATGATGATCTGAGGGGACACCCCGAGGCCACCGTGGGTCCGTGGCCACCCTGAGGGACCTCCTGGTGGCCCCCTGGCCCCCCCTGGCTCACCTGCACCACCCTGACCAGGCTCTCGGGGTACTTCTCAAACACGGCCGAGAAGGCCTCGACCGGCAGGCGCAGAACCGTGGAGTCCTCGGCGGCGCGGGCACACACGGTCCGGTACGGCCGCTGGTGGCCCTGGGGGGGTTTGGGGTGGTCACAGATGGCTTTGGGGTGGCCAAGGATGGGTTTGGGGACAGCCCCAGGATGTCCCCAAGGTACCGTGATGACGTCCAGGATGCTGAGCAGGCTGTGCACGCTGTCCCCAGGGAACACCTCCTTCATCACCGTCTCCTTGCCGTCCTGCCAGGACACGGCCCTGTCTCACCTGGTGTCACCTGAGTGTCACCTGAGCGTCCAACAGCGCCCCTTGATATCCCCAATGTGTCCAGCCATCCCAGGTGTCCCCAATGTCCCCAGTGTCCCCTCACACTCTCGGTGAGCAGCAGCTCCAGTTTGCCCTCCTGCAGGACGTAGATGCTGCTGTCGGGCTGGCCGGGCCGGAACACGTCCTCGCCCTGCTGGCACTGCTGGAACACCATGTGCTTACACAGCTCCAGGAACAGCGGCTTCTCAAAGTGCCCCAGCACCCTGTGACAGGGACAGCAGCGTCACCAGGGGGATGGCAGCGTCACTGAGGGGACAGCGGTGTCACCACAGGGACACGGGGACAGTGTGGGGACAGAGGGATCCCCTTGCAGAGGTGTCCAAGGGTGGAGTTTGATCCCTGTGCTTGAGGGCTGGTGCCAGGGATGGATCCTGACCCATGAATGGATCCCAATGCCACAAGTGGATCGTGACCTATAAATGGATCTCAATCCTACAAATGGATCCCGACCCCATAAACGGATCCTGATCCCCGTGCACAGACCCCGATCTAGGTGCAGATCCCATGGATGGATCCTGACCCCGTGGCCATCCCCCTGACCCCGTGGCCATCCCTGTGGCCACCCCTGGGGCTCACCTGACGTTCTTGAGCATGTAGAGCACCTCTGAGGGCAGGTGTGACGAGGCCACGTCGAACTCGGTCAGGTCGGCCTCCAGCACCGAGGGCGGCGGCTCCTTCAGCTGCAGCGTGGGCGGCTCCTTCTGGATGCGCAGGAAGCTGGCAGAGACCCTGGGGACAGCGAGGTGACAGCGTGGGGACGCTGCAGGGACACCACAGAGGGACGTGGGGACACCCTGGGGACACCTTGGGGACACGTGTCCCCCACGGGTCACTCACTTCTTGGCGATGCTGAGCACCTTGAGCTTCTTGCGGCTGCGCGGGCGAGCGGCCCCGCCGGGCACCGAGGCGTCCACCAGGGACGACGTGGACTGGGACACCTGGCACCGAGGGGACACGGTGACACACGGTGACACACGGTGACACCTCCGTGCCAGCCCGAGGGGGTGGGAGGAAAAAAAATGGGGGGGAAAATGGGGGGAAACGGGGATCACCTTACGCATGATCTTGCGGCTGTAGAACAGGACCTTGTCCCTCTTGCGGAAGCGGTAGCGGGGCGGCTCCTGAGCGGGGACCTCTGGGGACAAGGAGGGGACAAGGTGAGGGCGGTGGCAGCGTCACCTGTGTCCCCAGGGCCAGCTCAGGGGGGTGGCACTCACTCTTGAGGCGAAGCCACCAGCCCAGCACGGCCACGGCCATGATGATGATGGCGAGGCCCAGGATGGTCCCCAGCACCTGTGGAGGGATGGGGGTGTCACCAAAGTGTCCCCAAGGTGTCCCCAAGGGGTGGGGACAAGCGTGACGGGTGTGGCTGGGTCAGGGACATGTCCTCAAGGGACAAGGTTGTGTCCCCTCAGGGGGGTGCTGAGCTGCAGTGGGGACGTGGGGACATTGGGGACACTGGGGACATTGGGGACATTGGGGACACTGGGAAACAGGATATGGGGACACTGGGACACGGGGACAGAGGGACACTGGGGACACAGGTGACACACAGATGATACAATCACACAGTGACACGGGTGACACAGAGGCGACAGAGGTGACACAGAGCTGACACAGGTGACACAGAGGTGACACAGAGGTGACACACAGGTGACACACAGGTGACACGCTCACCGCGTGCGCCGGGAGCTGCTCCCTGCTGAACGCGGCCAGCAGCCCCCTCAGCACCGTGCCCTGTTGGGGAGGGGACAAGGGACAGCTGAGCCCCACAGTGTCCCCAGACCTTGGGGACATCGGGGAGGGGACAGGGACGGGTCCCACCTCGGCCTCCTGCTGCGACTCGCTCTGCCCCATGGCCGGGGGGGGCTGCGCCCATCCAGAATCCTGCTAAAAATGGGGAGAAAATGGGGAAAACGGGGAAAAAATGGGGGGGGAAATGGGGAAATAATGGGGAAAAAATGGTGGGCAAATGGGGAAAAAACAGGAAAGGAGCAGTTGGTGACACGAGGTGACACCCAGGAGACACCTTCGTGTCCCCAGGGTGTCCCCAAAGCACTCAGGGCCACCCAGTGGCCCAAGGGCGACTCAGGTGGCCCCTCCCTTGGGGACAGGAGCCATTCTTGTGACAGCGCTGGTCACCGTGCCAAGGCCACCAGCGGGCTCTGTCACCCGTCCCCTGCTGTCACCCACTCCATCAGTGCCACCAGCGGGCCTGGCCCTCTTGTGTCCCCACTGTCACCCTGCCACCTTCCCAAGGACACCCCGGGGAGGTGACAGCGGCACCGGGGCCTGGTGACACCTCCAGGTGACAACTGCACCCCCCCCCCCCCCCACAATGTCCCCAAAAGCCACCCCGAGGTTTTATTGCCCCCTCCCCAATTCCCTCGCCCAGAATTGCCCCTCCTTTATCTTTATTGCTCCCTTTTATTGTCCCCTTTATTGTCGCTTCCCATCTTTATTATCCTTCTTTATTGCCCCCTCTTATCTTTATTCCCCCTCCCACCTGATTCAATTCCCCTATCCCCGGGCAGTTATTGCCCCCCTGAACCATCATTACCCCCTCATTAGTTAATTACCCCCTCACGAGTTAATTACCCCCCTCACACTTTAATTCCCCCCAAGACGTTGTTACCCCACCCATGATTTAATTTAATTACTCCCTCACATC